CCATAGCGAACAGACTAGCTGGATAATTAGAGGAGAATCTCCACCTAAAAGCAATCTACTCATGAGGTTCCCAATTAGGCTTTGTTCCTTCATACCCTATCCCAGTGGCTCTCAAACTTCTTCTTGTTGACTTTATCTTGAAAAAAGAATATACTAATTTCAGTGTTAATATTGTTTTGACTACAAGAACTAAAGCAGCAGAAACGGCGAGTCACACCAAAAGAGACACTTAGGTTGTTTTCACACCTGATAGTTCGGTAGACTCGGTTCGATTGGGGACAAAAATTCAGAACATTTGTTTACGTTTTCAGCTGGTGCAGTTTGCATTCACATTGAGTCAATCAAGCTAACCTGTTTCCCCCCTCCCCTCGCCTGTGGTGGCGCTGCACCAAGAACTACTCAAGAAAGCAACATAAAAACCTCTGAAGAAGACACTGAGCGCAACTTACTTCTGGAAATACAAACAAAAACGGAGTGGCGTCAAATTTTAGTGGCTTTAAGATTTCTGTTTTTTCATTTTTCAACAATGGACTCGGCATGAGCGGAAGATGAGGCAGCAGACCATGAAGAATGTTGTTTTTCACACAAGGCGGCTTAGACGGCTCCGTATGAGGTATTAGAAATGCGCGTTTGTTTTGGTTGTATCTACGCAAAATGCCCTGCGCTGTAATCCACTTCCTGCTTTTGGAGCGGTCTCAGGTCTGCTTGCATTCACACTGCATTCGAACCGCGCTAGAGTTTGCGTCAACTGAACCAAGACCTAGGTATTTAGACAGACCAGAGTTCGCTTTTTTGGTCCGCATCAGAGTTCGATTGCACATTCACACCTCCCCGAACGAACCGGACTTTCTAGGCAAACAGACTCCATCAGCAATGCAAGCTTTTAGAAATGAAGAATTGAGGCATGGAGGAGAACTCACCTCAGCTGGGTTGACTTGGAGCTTCAATACATAAACGTATGACGAACGTCTTCCTCGTATATTTTTTTACACGTGACAAAGAAACTCAGTGCTCCTTGACCAGAATCCTTGATTTTAGTGATACATACCTCTCTATTTTCCAAACTTATGCTTTGTTAAAGAGAAACATTAAATTATAGTAATTGATTTGTTGTATTGTCCTTAAAATAAGTTTGGTTGCAATGAGGCATTGCAACGTTAGTTCCACCTGGCTTGGCAAAAATAAAAAACATTGAGTGATGTCGCACCACCCTGGAAAGGCCTTGGCTCCTCTAAGAAACTGCACCTCACTGTTTGAGACCTACTGCCCTACCTTAACCTTAACCCCCAACTCCTTACCCTAATGTTGACCCCTTGAGAGTAAAACAAGAACATTAAAAAAAAAGCTTTAGAAGACTTTCAATTATAAGCCGTTTTTCTGGTATAAAACTTACAATACGAATTAAAATAAAATGCATAGGGTGTCATTTTGCCAGCATTTATTTTGAAAACTGCAGTACCACAAAATAATCTCAATCAAGAAAATTCCACTACTAGGTCCAGAGAGTTTTTAAATAAAAAATAAAAAAATCAAATATAAATGGTAAATGGTAAATGGACTGTACTTGTATAGCGCCTTTCTATCTTATCGAGATACTCAAAGCTCTTTACAACACAATCTGTGCCCTCATTCATACAGCACTCTACTAGATCTCCATCCATCCATTATCTTTTACCCGCTTCTTCCATTTTGGGTCACGGGGGTTGCCGGTGTACATCAATCGCTGTGCGAGGGGCGGGGTACACCCTGGACAGGTCGCAAGTCCATCACAGGGCCACATAGAGACAAACAAGTATTCGCTCTCTCATTCACACCTAGGGACAATTTAGAGTCAGCACTCAGCCTAACATGCATGTTTTTGGTCTGTGGGAGGAAACCGGAGTACCCGGAGAAAACCCACGCATACACGGAGAGAACATGCAAACTTCACCCAGAAAGGTCCCCGGACCGGGATTTGACACAGGGACCTGCTCGCTGAGAGGCAGCAGCTCTACCAGATGCGCCACCGTGCTGCCCTCTACTAGATCTCTACAAAGCTAATTGAACAAATCATTCTAAAGAGACTAATCGGAGCTTTATCACATTCATACACCGATGGGACGCACATCGGAGGCAATGAGGGGTTCCTTGTCTGCCCAGGGACACTTCGGCATGTGACTGCTGGTGTATTCGAACCCCCAACTCTTGCATTGGAGGACGACTGCTCTAACCACTCAGCCACAGCCGCCCATTAGTATCAGTATTCGGCTTCTATTCTTGTAGTGCAAAACAGTGCAAAAGATGTCAAAAGTAGTTTTAACCATATGTTTTAAACAAAAGAATATGATGTTAACAGTTTCCAGTCTTCTCACTTGAGAAATGAACAGCAACAGAGCAGCATTTTACACTGAAAACACTTAACAAAACTAAAATTCAAAATCTCGCTGTCATTTGTTAGAGTCTAAAGATTGTTGACCAAGAACACTAGCTTGTCCATAGTCTCTGGCTTTAACAGAGACCGGTGGCATGAAACAATGTTGCTACCAATGCTAAGCCCTTTCTGAAGGAGCACTCATGGCTGGAATGCTTGGCCAGCTTTGCCATTTTTGGAAAATTAGCCTGGTGCAGTCTCCCCCTGTCCAGTGGTTCAGTTTCTCAGTGGGTGTTTTCTTCCACTTTAAGGAGAACTGACACAAAATGGTGAACAGTTTCTTCTGTGGCTCTGACCAGACAGCATCTCGCAGTAAAATCACACAACGCAGCGTTCTTTTCACAGGTCAGAGAGCAGGTTTAACCCTTTTTTTAAGCACAAATGCGCTCTGTAAAGCTGACCAACGCTTACTTTAACTTTTGATGGAACACTGCGTTTTGCACATGCATCCAAATATGGCAACAGTACGGCAAGCCGGCCGTAGTTAGCTTGTAGCTTTGCTACTTACCTCACAAAAAAACAGACATTAACACAATTTATACAGTTTTCAACAAAAAAAAAAGGTAACTGTTAAATCTGACAACTGATTTTACATCAGACACAGCATTACTGCGGTTAGCCAGTGGAATACATTTTTTTAAAGCCCCAAATCTAGGAATGTGCGATATGGCATAAAATTCATATCACGATATGTATTGTGAAGGGTGGCGATAACGATATATATCGTGATATGTTTTTGGTACAAAACTTGCTAAAAAAAAATCATAGGGTGTCTTTTTGCCATCATATATTTTGAATTAAGAAAATTCCACTACTAGGTCCTGAGAGTTTTTAAATAATAAACAAATCAAGTATTAGGCATCTTGCTTGTAGTGCAAAACAATGCAAAAGATATCAAATGTAGTTTTAGTCATATGTTTTAAACAAAAAAAAATATGTTGTTAACTCTTAACAGTTTCCAGTCTCACTTAAGAAATGAACAGCATCAGAGCAGCATTTTACACTGAACACTTCACCCTCCAACCCTCTAGTGGGCGACTCCTTCCACTTTAATGGAGAGCTGACACAAAATGAGTCTGTGGCTTTGACAAGAGGGTCTCGCAGTAAAATCACACAACACAGTGTTCTTTTCACAGATCAGAGAGCAGGTTTCTCTAAAGCTGACCAATGCTTACTTTAACTTTCGATGGGGAAAAAAAAAATAACAACTTTTGATGGAACACAGCGTTTTGCGCATGTGTCAGAATACGGCAACACTACGGCAAGCTGGCTGTAGTTAGCTTGTAGATTCACTACTTAACTCTCGAAGAAAAGACTTTAACACCACTTGCGCACAGTTATCAACTAAAAAAAATAACAATTAAATCTGACAACTCTGATTTTACTTCAGACACAGCATTACTGCGGTTAGCCGGTAGAAGACAGATCACTATCGAGGCTAAATTTCTATTGTTTTTACCGTATACCGTTTATATTGCGCATTCCTACCCAAATCCCACATGAGTGGAAAAGGAAGCACCATGGACGAATTCCCGTCAACCTGGCAGCAGTGCTCGAGTACCTGACCGCCAAGATCCTGGAGCTGTTAGGAAACTCGGCTCATGACGATGGGAGGACTGGGATCATCCCCCGGCACGTTCAGCTGTCTGTTGCGACGAGGAGCTCGGCAGACTGCTGAGAGGAGTGACCATCGCTCAGGGATTAATTCTGCCCAGGATTTGGCCAGTCCTGCTGCCCAGGAGGACCGAGAGTCCTGCCGGATCTGGCAGCAAGCTGGATCTGGGTGGATGGATCAGTATCTGTGGCCAGATTCTTCGGATTCGCTTCCTATACTTCCTGCCCACAGCTGTCAGCATCTAACAACTCTTGAATGGAACCAGGACGATGAGCTACGACAACACTTAATTTCCCTTTGGGATTAATAAAGTATTTTTGAATTGAATTGAATTGAATTTGACTTGAATACAGATCTCTATCATAGGCTAAATGTCTATAATTTCTACTGTGTACCGTATATATCGCGCATTCCTAGACTTCAACATGTAGTCTGGTTCATTTAGCCTTTAATATCCCAGGCCAACATATAGACTGTATTTAGCTCAATTAGTAACAATAGGTTGACATGGTGGGACAGTGTTTATAGTTGTTGCCTCACAACAAGAAGGTTGCAGGTTCAACCTGTCTGCAATCTTACTGTGTGGAAAGTGTGCTGTTAAGGGAGTCAGGAAGATTTTTATTGTCATTTTGGTCGTAAAATGGTGATACAGTAAACAAGTGAAGCAAGACAACAGTCCTCTGGGGTCACAATACTAAATAAAACACAATATACATAATACGGACGTTCAAAAATTAAACGTTCACAGGTCATACATTTAAAGATGGTACTAGGTCATCACAAATTAGCGAGGGCAGACCTTGCCGTTCTCAGTTAAATGCAGATGCCTATTTGGTGTCTAAATCTAGTTTGAGGCATTTTTAAGTTTTAGAAAGAAAAAAAGAGTATCCCATTTTAGTTTAGACATCATCTCACCCCTGACACAAAAGATCACAGAATGTGGTTGTAACCAGATTTCGTGTGTGTTCCCTTCACTTTGGAGGCCAGGACATCTTCATGACAGAGGAACAGAAGAAATACTACAACGCCATGAAGAAGCTGGGTTCCAAGAAACCGCAAAAGCCTATTCCTAGGCCAACGGTAAGTTCAGTTTCTTGTCAGACTCCAAATGAAGGCATACAATGAATAGCATCTTTCTTTTTCTTTCAGAATGCATTTCAAGGCTTCGTGTTTGACTGCATCACAAAGCAGGCGTTTGACATTGTAATCATGATCCTCATCTGCCTTAACATGGTGACCATGATGGTAGAAACAGATGACCAGACAAAAGAGATGGACAGGATCCTTTACTGGATTAACCTGGTTTTCATTGTGCTCTTCACTGGGGAGTGTGCGCTCAAGATGATCTCGTTGCGTCACTATTACTTCACCATTGGTTGGAACATCTTTGACTTTGTGGTGGTGATCCTTTCGATTGTAGGTAAGGTTATATTTCAAGGTGCTTCAACTTGATGGTTGATTTTTTTAAATATTTTATTTAGGAAATCACATGGTTGAATCTTCTAACTTCTTTCTTTCCAGGTATGTTTTTATCTGAGGTTATTGAGAAGTACTTTGTGTCTCCAACGCTGTTCCGAGTGATACGACTCGCCCGGATAGGTCGCATTCTTCGCCTTATCAAAGGTGCCAAGGGCATCCGGACGCTCCTCTTTGCCTTGATGATGTCACTACCTGCCCTGTTCAACATTGGCCTTCTACTCTTCCTGGTTATGTTCATCTATGCCATCTTTGCCATGTCCAACTTTGCTTACGTCAAAAGGGAGTCAGGGATCGATGACATGTTCAATTTTGAGACCTTCGGGAACAGTATGATCTGTTTGTTTCAGATTACAACCTCAGCTGGGTGGGACGGACTGTTGGCACCCATACTTAACAAGAGGGAACCTGACTGTGACAGTCAAATGGAACACCCAGGAAACTTGTACAAGGGCAACTGTGGTAACCCTTCAGTGGGCATCTTTTTCTTTGTTAGCTACATCATCATTTGCTTTCTCATTGTGGTTAACATGTACATTGCCGTCATCCTGGAGAACTTTAGCGTGGCTACAGAGGAAAGTGCTGAGCCGCTGAGCGAGGACGATTTTGAGATGTTCTACGAGGTGTGGGAACGCTTCGACCCTGACGCCACTCAGTTTGTAGAGTACAGCAAGCTCTCAAACTTTGCAGATGCTCTAGACCCACCGTTACGCATTCCCAAGCCTAATATGATCCAGCTCATAACGATGGACCTGCCGATGGTGAGTGGCGAGCGCATCCACTGCCTTGACATCCTGTTTGCTTTCACCAAGCGAGTGTTGGGAGAAGGCGGTGAGATGGACATGTTACGTGGACAGATGGAGGAGCGCTTCATGGCCTCCAACCCCTCCAAGGTTTCCTACGAGCCCATTACCACCACCCTGCGCCGCAAGCAGGAGGAAATGGCTGCCGTAATTATCCAGAGAGCCTTCCGCCACTACATGATCCGCCAGGCCATGAAAAAGGCCTCCGCCCTCTACAAGGAGAAGCTAAAGGAGGGCGTTCGCGACCCAGACAAGGATGTGATGGTCATCAGCAAGTTCAACGAAAACTCCACGTCGGATAAAACAGACGTGACTCCTTCCACGGCCTCCCCGCCCTCCTACAACAGTGTGACGAAGTCAGACAAGGACAAATACGAAAAAGAAAACCGGGAAAAGGAAAACAAAGGGAAAGACTTGAAAGACAAAAAGAAATAGACTTCTAAAAATATGGAACAATTAAATATAATGCATCAGATCTATGAGAGACATTTGTTTACAGCTTCTAGAGGAGGTAGATAAATGTGTGCTTGTCTGTTGATTGTTCAGAGATGAGGAATGCTGATTTGAGAAAGCCCTAAAAAGGGAGTGGATATGTTGGAAATATATATAAATATGTGGGTTCTTCCCAGAGGGGGGAAATGGAAGCAAGTTATTCAGCTGACACTGCCAGAGGTTGACTGATACATAGAGCAGACTCTCTTCAAAACGCTTGTGGTTTTTTCTTTTGGTTGTCGTTACTATGACACACTTGAGTGTACTGTTAATTTGTCTGTAGCTAGTGCTGCTGCTACTACAAATCCAGTGTCTTGAATTTTTAAAAGTGCTGTATGACAACAGGTTTTCTGTATACTTTTGATTCAATTCCCTTTTTTTAGGTTCTTTTTTATGAAAAGGAATGTTCTTTTTTCCATAATTTTTTTTTTTTTTTAATTTACTTCGGTGCATCGGTTTTGAGAATGTGTCCACTGCTTTCAATGTTGTACAATCACCAAGAGCAGAAAAGGTTGCTGCTGGAAACTACAACCATAAAACTCGTACAGCGCAGGGCCAGAACCAGAACACCCACGGTTCCTACGGTATAAGAAGCTGAAACAAGCTGCTGGAGTGCAACGATCAAATATCGTGAATTCACCGATGACGGCGTCCCAATTGGAGGTTGTTAAAACCTGGATTGTGCTTTTATCTGAGCTGCCATGTCCTTGTTTCATTAAACACCAACGAATTCCGTCTAAATGCTGAAAAGCTGAATGTATGCAAGTTGGAGGAATGAGACGCATTCTTAAAAGAACTTGGGGAAACGTTCTTGGTTGCCTTTTTTGCCAAGATTTCGATGACGCAATTGGCACCACTCATGCCTAGGCTAGAAAAAAGCAGCGATTCATCCTTGTCCTTGGAGTAAAGTATAGAAATGTACCCAGCTGTGGATTTTAAGACTGAAAGTCAGACTGTTGATGTGATCGGTGTCTGATTTTACCCTCAGTGTAAACTTGGTCCGCTCACTGGAAGTCGTAACTACACGTCACCTCAGCAAAGAACACCAAAATCATTTTTAGTTTTGTAAAGGTTTTAGCTATATTGTTTGGCATAATTAAAGCCTTCTGCGATTAAAAAAAACTTCCCCTACATAGATCACGTTAGCATTAGCTTATTAGTGTAGAGAACAGAGGAAGGACCAGAAAACGTTTTTAATTAAAAAGAAAAATAAGGATACATTGTTAGCACTGCTAATGCTAGCTAATTTCAGCACAGTTTCAGCGATAGATATAAGCTCTCAACACAGAGATAAGGTAGAATTTGTAAATAAAATATAAACCTAAATTATGGATATAAACCAGGCTTAATTTGTAAACCAATCAATGCCGTAACGCAAATAGCGGGCAAGGTGGGGGGTTTGGTTGCGGGAGGGTCTGGGGGTACTCCCCCATAAAATTTAGAATAAAGTAGATGCGATTTCCTGCATTTTGATGTATTTTAACGGGTTGTTAAACATCTAACTTTACCTACATTTGTAAAACACTCCGCTTCTGTCAAGCATCGTACGCCTTTCCCCTGACGGGTCCGAGCCCGACTCCGCTGAATTCACTGTCCTCCTGGTTGTTGTCCAACTCCAGATGTGAAACCTCCAGGCGCCTCCTCTGTCTGTTCATGGCAGCTGCCTGTGGACTCCTGCCCACATGACTGCCTGGTTAGTTCAGCACTCACCACAACCACCAGAGGCGGATTGGCCATCAGGAACACTGGGACATTTCCCGGTGGCCTGGCCCGCTCAGTGATCGCCGAGGGGCTCGACCAAAGACTCGATTCGGGTCATGCTTGATTATTTTAAATAAACAATCCATGCCACTCACTCATGTATCCACCTCACTGAAGCTCGTGGGGGGGGGGGGGGGGGGTGTTGTCTTTCCCCATCGCTACTTCTCAGAGAGCTAAAGCCATTTTGACACATACAGAGCTGAAATTTGGTGAGGTTTTAGCTGAGAACATTCCCTATCACGTACTGAATCCAAATCAAAAATCCAACATGGCCGCCTTAGCTAAAAGAGGAAAAAATACCATAACTGCCTTTTTCTTTTTTAAGAGCTATTCAGCTGAAATTTGGCATATTCGTAGCTAAGAACGATCCCTAATAGACTCTGACTGAAAATCAAAAATCCAAGATGGTCGTCTTAGCTAAAAGAGAAAATATACCACAACTCTGCCATTTTTAGAGCAATTCAGCTGAAATTTGGTATACTGGTAGTTGAGAGCGAACTCCAACACATTACTGTCAAATTAACCATTTCAATTGGCAGCAGCCTGGCAGTCCCCATCAAAGTTTCTCCAGGAACTTTCCTGTTTGTCTTTCGTCAACTTTAATGCAGTCCAAACCGCAACATGTCCCCCCCACAAATGTTTTATCAAAAAAGACCGGCTCAGCACCGTGATGTGTGCTGTTACTTTAATTGGCGTTTCGAGTTGCCATGACGATGTAATTTGCAAACAAATACGCCATTTTCCCATACGAAACGCCTGACACAACACTCCTCGCGCTAACGGTGAGGTCACATGACTTAAGAGTGTAGAGAAACAGAAACCCGTTGTTGGATTTGTTTGAAACTCGCAGAAAGTAAACAGATGTATCTCTAGAGCTGATTAACGTTTGGAGCCATTTTGATTCAAGATGGCTGCCACAGTTATCTTAGCAAACACAACGTTGACTATAATTCATTGAATTTTTGTCACGTTGAGCTGAAATTTGGTTTAGTGGTAGCTAAGAGCAACCCCCAACACTTAGTACTGTCAAATTAAAACTTTAAATTGGCAGCAGCCCGTCATAGTTTCTCCGGGAACTTTACATTTTCTTTTTTTTACTGCCTTTCCCTTTGACGAGCGTCTAGCGTAGAAAGATTATACGAGTCGTAACCTGTCAGGAATACTCGGTTCAGATACTTGACAGGCAAAAACGTTGACATTGATTATCATTTTTATTTTATAGGGACAAACCTATAAAAAACGGTGCCAATGTAAGAGTGGTGTTAATACTCTCATCTATGTCTTGGCAGCAACGTTAACCTTCCTGCTGTTCTTGGGTCAAAAGACCCTCAAGGGGTTAAACCGCGACTTTCCCAAAAAGCTTCGCCGCAGTTCAACCTGCTCTTGTGTCGCAGCGCCCCCTGCGCTCGCCGCGCTCCCATTTATCCTCCTCTGCCCCACAGAGCTCCTGTAAAGAAAAAAAGAATAGAAAACCCTTTCTAACCCTTCTGAGCCAGGACCTGGCGATATGTCACGTATAAAAGCCGTAGTGTCACCCATGTTTGTTTGCCGTTCGTGTGGTTTCGGTTGAGAAGCGAGTGGTTTCCATGTCGTGGTTGGGTTTGTAAATATTCTAGCTGTTCGGGCCCACAGTATGCATCACACTTACATTTGATGTAAGAGCACTTTTTATCCCCACTGCTATGTAACGCCGCGAGTGGCTGTCGTCCACGGACGTGCGTGTGTGTTTGTATTAACTGGGAGAAAGATGTCCGCATCTGTATCTTTATTTGAACGACGATGTCCGGGCTCTGCAGGTCGCTTCTGTTCTACCGATTATAAATACCATTTTTACTGTACATACCATCAAGTCTTCAGAATTGTTTTGTTTGTTTTTTCTAGAAGAGGTTTTTTTTTCTGCAATGGTAACACGATGAAACACATGTATGGTCCCCGTGTGTGTTTAAGATCCAACCCACGAAGCAATCAGCAGCCGTCTCTCATCGCCGCTTCGCGTAGTGTTTTAGTGAACTGCATGCAGGAAGTGACTACCGTCCGCTCATATGGCCTCATTTTAAAGCCAAAAAATAAAGGAAATATTTTTTGTAAGTGCGTGTTTTTTTTTTGTTTTTTTTTTACGATTCAGTTTCGTTTGAAAGGTTTTTAATTAAACTTATTTTTCTGTGAGTGATGTTTCTATGGAAGATGATTAGGGCCACGCGGAAATTATTATTTATTTGGTTTTTTTTTTTTTTTTTCAAGATTCTGACTGAATCTCATAATTCTGGTTATTTTTATTTATTTTAAATTGTGACAGTTAAATTTTAAAAAGTCAAAATTCTGAGATTAAAGACAGAATCCTGACTTTAATTTCAGAATTTTGACTTAAATGTCAGATTTGTAAGATTCTGAGAGTTGTCAAAATTCTGACTAAAATGTTCAAATTCTGACTTTTTTTTTTCCTGATTTCTCAGATCAAAGTCATAATTTTAATTTATCTCGGATTTCTGAGGGGGAAGTTAAGAGTTTTGTCATTACAGATCTGAGAAAAAATGTCAGAATTTGGACTTTAATCTGAGAATTTTGATTTAATCATGATTTTTTTTTTTACTCTTGATAATGATGTCAAAATTCTAACTCTAAGCCTGTTTTCTCAGAATTCAGAGTTTAAAGTCAGAATTCTAAAAATAATAATAATAATCACCATGCACTTATCAGCTTTATGGCACTAATCATCTTCCGTACTTTAAATTGATGATTTAAAAAAAAAAAACATGATTGCTTTCCAGGCTGAGCAGGATCATTCATGTGCTTCATGTTCATGTTACACTGAACTCTGTATACATTTGCAAAATGTGACACGTGACTTTTTTTCTTTTTCTTCTGTTATAACCAAAGATGTGGCAACAAAACACAAAATCTAGATTTCCAAAATAAAACCTATTTTGGGAAGCGCAGTTTGCATTAAAGATGCCTTCATTTGGTGTGGAGAGCTGTGAGGGGAGAGCCTCTGGACGTCCACCCACGTCTGAAGACGGACTTCAGAACGAACCTGGAACCACAAAGAAGAACCCCAGAACTGAATCCTCGCAGTACAACGTGTTTAATATTGACAGACGGAAAAAAATAATCCAAAAACAATCGAGTTCAGTTTCAGTGGATTGATTATAGTCTTAGCGTTTACGTTTTACGTTGTTGCTACATCAGCACACCTTCAGCTGTTTTAAGCGCTCGTATCAAAAACATTCAGCTTGTCGTATGGACGAGCTGAATGTTTAACTTTTTGGTTTTTATATATTTTTTGAGTTTTTGAAATATTTAACTGTTTAAATGTACAATTTAAAAAAAAAAAAAAAACCATCCCGACAGCAATTAATCCATTTTATGGCACTAATCATCTTCCGTACTTATCCTTTTTTTTTTTTTTTTACACAGAGCATTCAAATCCTTATTTTTTTCTTTCAAGTCTACTTCAGTATACTTGAATACATTTTAGCCTTTACCTAATGTTTGGCTGGTTTTAGCTTAAAGCTGTTGCTTTGCTAGTCCAGTCTTTTAGTTGCCGTGTTGTCAGTCTTGGCTTTTAGCTACAACTTTGCTGATCTCACTTTGAGCCATTCTTTTAGCTGATTTTCGCTTTTAGCTACAATTTTTGGTGTCTGTGGCTAATAGCTACTGTTTTCTTTTATTTCAGCCATCAGCTTTTGGTTAGTTTATTTTAACCTTTAGTTATAAGCTTATTTAACCCTTCAGTTTTTGTTTTGCTTATGTTTATATTAACTTTTTTGTTGCATTTTAGCATTAGCTTTTCTTTAACTTTGTTTAGCTTATTTTAGCATTAGCTTTTGTTTAGCTTTATTTAGGATTAGTTTTTTAGCCTATTTTAGCGCAATCTTTTGTTTAACTTGTTTTAGACTGTAGCTTTTAATAGCCTTTTCTAGTCTTTAGCTTTGTTTATCCCACTTTAGCATTAGCTTTTGTTTAGCTTATTTTAGCATTAGCTTTTGTTTAGCTTATTTTCACATTAGCTTTTGTTTATCCTATTTTAGCATTAGGTTGTTTTTTTTTTTACCTTATTTTAGACTGCAGCATTTAATTAGCCTTTTCTGAGCTTTAGCATTGTTTAGCCCATATTAGCATTAGCTTTTGTTTAGCCTATCCATCCATTACCTTTTACCCACTTCTTCCATTTTGGGTCATGGGGGTCACCGGTGCCCATTGTTTAACTTATTTTAGACTTTTCTAGTCTTTAGCTTTGATTTGCTTAGTTTAGCATTTAACATTGGCTTATTTTAGCATTGAGCTTATTTTAGCTTTAAGTTTTAGCGTTTTACTTTTTACTTATAGTTTTGTAGCTTTTGTTTTGCTTAATTTAGTCTTTGGAAAGCCTACACAAGCCTTTGGCTTTCGTTGAGCTTATTTTAACTTTGTTTTATTTAACTTTAGCATTTCTTTGACCTATTTTAGCCTGTAGCTTTCAATTAGCATATTCTAGCATTAGCTTTTGTTGAGCCTTTTTAGCTAAATTTAGCATTAGCTTTTGTTTAGCCTAGCTTTGCTTAATTAGTTGTCGTTTTTGTTCTGATTGATTTAATAAATCCAATTTTGCTTCAGATTTTAACACATTTTCTAGTAAAGTGACTATTTTAAAATTGAAATAATCATTTATTTTAATTAAAAATAAATAAAATATCAGTACAGTGAAGTGCTCAGCGTTCCCCAGCATTTTCTGTGAAAGTCCCTTTTTGTTCCTTTTCACCATCCGAGGATGTTTCTATTCAACTTTAAGGAGCATCAAGGCTGGGGTGACATCATCGGTTTACGTCTCCACATGTTGCTCAAACCACTTCTGTCCACGCTTAAAGACGTCCCCGTGTCTCCTGAGGATGGTTCGGAGTCAGGTCCACGTCTCCCCCTCGCTCGCATGCGATGCTTCGAGAACCAGGAAGGAGACGGAGGTGGGATGCTGAGACAGCCTCACCCTCTCCATGCTTTGCTTCTCCTCTCTTTCACTGTTGCCTGGCAACCAGACATCACAGCTCCACAGTCTGATTGATCAGCACTGTTCCTGAGCTGGCTTACCCATAATCCTTTGCAGGGGTAAAAAGGCAAACAGGCACTCCCTTCCGTCCTCCGAGCCACAGAATGCCCTGTTGAATGGATTATGTAAGAAAAGGGTGAAGGTCAAACGATGACCTTGTGTTCTCAGATGAAACCAGCCTGTGGCAGATGTATTGTTAGAGGAGCATGAAGCACAGCTGGGTTTACATTACCCAGAACCTGCAGTGGACTAATTATGTGGTTATGCTGTGAGTCATGATATATATTTTTACAGAAATGACTAAAAGCTTCCACCTGTCCTGGACTGATCCAGACCCAGGCAGGACTCTGTGTTTAGCTCAGCAGTGCCCCCTGGAGGCCAAAGAAAGCAACAACATCCAAACACAACCGTCACAAAGCAGCAAAGATTCTTCCAGAAGTGGCAAATTGTCCTGAAGAGAACTAAAAAGTCACATTTTGGTCACTTTTAGGCATAAAATAACTAACGTCAGCTTTGAATTGACATACGGCTCAATGGTTTTTTATTTTAAAACCACTTTTGTTGAAAATGTTTGACTTAAAATACAAAAACTTTAGGGTTTTTTTTTGTCTTTAATGACAAAATTTCAACAGATTAGCAAAAAAAAAACCCATAAAATTCTGTTTTCCGACACTCCGTTTAAGTATCTTAATGTAACACTATTGACAAAACTATTTATTTATTTTTAAACCTTTTTTTTTATTATTATTTTACCAGGAAATAAATCCATTGAGATTATTAATCTCTTTTACAAGGATCTCCTGGGCAAGGTGCAAACAAGCCATTACATTTACAGCAATAGTCATAATAACAGTAATATGTACAACAATATATCCAGTAATGTGACATAAAATACAATGAAAGTTTTAAAAAAGGTCACAAGTTGAGACACTTAAACGTTATAGGTGCAAGATGTGACTAAAACCTCCTGATAGTTTTTGTTTAAAACTAACTAACTTCAACTTAAGCTGCAGATCATTCCAAGACCATGAGCCGACATAGGACAAACTCATCTTTGCTAACTCTGTGCACACTTACCGTAAACCACAACCAGCTTCTGGTCCTGAGACTGTGTTCTGTGAAATGAACTTGGAGTAGTTAAATGATGGTCATTTACCTAAAATGGCTTTGTAAATGTAACTATACCAATGCTTCATCCTTCGATTATTGAGTGAATCCAGCAATGGCATATGAAGTACAATGGTGAGTCCTAAAGGGTGAACCTGTTGTACCTCAGAGCAGCATGCTAAATGGTCTCCAGTTTAGCCAAGGTAGTGGGAGAGGCAAATCTATAGACCGTGTCTCCGTAATCCAGCTGTGATAAAAACAAACTTGTTACAAACCGCTAACGAAAAGAAATACAAATAAATAAATAAAAATCAGTCTATACTAAAAATTTAGAGCAAATTTTAGCTTTTTTTTTTACATATATAATGTGATGTTTAAAATTACGATCTTTATCCAGTCACATACAAAGATATTTGTATGTGTACAATCTGTATGATATCAACACAACTTTGGTTTTTCTAGCATTCAGTACTAACTTTGAATCATGAATAGCATTCTGTAAGGTGTTGAAATCAGTCTGAAAGTTAAGCTGATCACAGATTTGACTAATATTGAGTAAAAAGATAAAGGGCCCTAAAATAGACCCTTGTGGGACCCCTTTGTTCATTGTGAAAACCTGAGCCAAATCAAACAAACTGAGCGCATTTAGTTAAGTAGCCGTTAAACCAACTAATTATGTTCATATTAAAGCCAAGTTTTTGTATGTTTTTATAAATATGAAAAGTATAGGAAAAAACATGTTAAAACAAAGTTACCAATGCTATGTGCGGAGATTTGCTAGCTCAAAGCTAATTTGCAAACTTAGTTCTCATTTGTTTTCTACAAAGAAAATAAAGATCTCCAAAATCACCAATATAATGGAAAATTACACAAGCAAAATATATTTGTATTAGGTTTTTTTCACATGTTCACAGCAAGAAATGTGTTAGCTCCCTGCAATGTTACACAGCTATATACTGTACTAACAGCAGGATGCTAGCATGCTAACTGAAATTGCAACGTTTACTTAATATTATGATTTTTGTTTTCCATATTTAAACAAAAACACTATCTACAGTGTATTTGTACAGCTTTATTCACCTATTTGCTTCTGCAGAAAGAAATAATTTATATTTCTTTAACATTTTGATAACTTAACAAGCTAGCTGCTAACCGTTTTTGTTAGCAGCTTAGCATGTTGAATACGAATGGGCTGTTAGAGTTAAGTGAAGGCAAAAAACACAATATTAGTTCAAATATGTAACAAAAATCAGGTGTTATAAAGAGGAAGCCATGTAAAAACTGGTTTAAGAAATGTTTATTATGGCATTTGTCACAAAAACAATTTGTTCAGTAGAGAATAATACTGCTAAAATCCCGGCAACAGAACAATACGACCTGCAAATGAAGTAAGTTTTTATTTATTTATATATATATATATATATATATATATGTTGACAGTAAAAGTTATACATTTGTGCAGGTGACATAATTTTATTGTACTGAATGTGCAAGCCATGAAACGTCTTCTGGAAACTGAACACATGCAAGAAAGATTAGCGTTCGGCGGCAACAGCAGCACGAAGGAAAACAACGAAACCACGAGCACCTCAGGATCTTGTTCTGAACCGTCACGGATGCTAACCACAGCCGGGAAACATGCGGAAAGGACCGAGGACTTTACAACAACCTATAGTGTGTTGTCACAAGGAGACAGATGCTGGAGTAGTACTTTATTTGTATGGTTTGAAATTGATCTAGAAAGGTTTGGTGAATAACTACGTAAGTTTCACGACTTCTTTGAGCCTTCGGGGTTAAAACGTGGAACTCTTTCCAAGTGCACTTGTCAGCTCTTATTTGAATTTGCGACTAAAAATGACTCTTAGCCGTCAGACGTTCTCCAGTGCTGTTTGGTTGGCACCTCCTTGTCGCTCCTGCGCAGGCCGTCCCGTTTCCTCCGCCTTCGAGTCCTGACGGTCTGGATTGTTGTGGAGCCACTGCTCGGCCGTGGTGAACTCTCGAGTGTCTGCGTGTGAGCGGCTCTGGAGTGCCGTGGACTCGGAGAAGTGCTCAGCTTGGCGCTGGAGCTCTTTGCCGATGTCGGACTCCAGCGCGGACTCTACGGAGGGGAGGATGGGGGTGACGTTCAGGTTCTCGCTAAGGAACGCTGGGGGGTCATGAGCTGAGCTCTCTGTTTGATAGGACCGCATGGGGGGGTTGTTGTGGAAGGGGTTGCCGAGGCTCACAAGTGTGCTGTTGGAGTAACTCAGGACAGAAGGAAGTGGGACGGGGTATGGCTGAGGACTCAGTCCGTTCCCTGAACAGTCCCAGTCCTCCTCCTCGTCCTCGTCTTCCTCATCGTCTTCATCTTCCTCATCGTCCTCGTCTTCCTCCTCGGGGTCGAGTGTTTCCAAGCTGTGTGTGCTGCAGTCTGACAGCCCGCTGCAAACGCTGCTGCCATCGTCATCGTAAGCTTCGTCCTCGTCTTCATCATCATCCTCTTCCTCCTCATCTTCCTCCTCCTCCTCTTCGTCTGGATTCGAATCCGTATCCCCGGCGCTCTGGAGCTGCATGATGGGTTCGTGCTGAGGGCCGCTCATCAGCACGGACTGAGGGTTCGGCGGCTGCTGCGGGATGAAGGTGGGGTTGCTGTGGTAACCGTTGCCATTGGTTACGAGCTGCTGCTCCGTCTGCTGGTGGCGATACTGCTCGTCGTGGCTCTTCTCCAGCTCCAGCTTCATGATGGTGTGCAGGAAGTGGGTGCGCACCCGGACGGGGTTGAACTCCAGCCGTCCTGTGCTGTTGCTGCAGCCGTCCTTGGTGCAGCCACAGGGGAAGGACATGCGATCTACCTGGAGGGTGGGGGGTAAAAGAAAAAAATCAGTATTATATACGTGTAGACCCGGAGCAGCATTTCATGAGTTGCCAATCAGAGCTGGTCACGTGTGGTATGAAACTGCAGAATCTGCTGGTGGCGTTGGTAATTAACCCCCCAGGGGACAGAAATACTCCACTTCCTCTGTTAGAAGCAAAAATCAACATTCATTTTGCTCCAAAACTTTCAAAGCAGTTTCTGTGGTGCTTAAAAAGGCATACACCGACCTTTACGACACTTTGATTAAAACGTTCAGCTGTCACATTCATCAGGAAAATGACAACAGACTTTGAGTATATTCGCTCTATTTTTAAAACAAATCTTATTAATACAAAATGTATCAAACTCTATTTATACTGCTTTGCATTTTTATTTATTTTTTTTTACTTTCTATTATTACGGTTTATATTTTTCTTCATTTTCACCATTTTAACAAAAATATTAAAACTCCCATGTTGCGCCACTAGGTGGCGAGACTGTCCACATTTACAACACATCAAAAAGTAGAAGAAGAATGTTTTTAGCTTAACTAAGGTTTTTCCCAAACTCATTTTTGCCTTGATACAAATTAGTTCTCTCTCAGTTATCAATCATTTCGGCACATTATTAAAGTTTAACGGCGACAGAATCAAAATAAAGTGTCACAGACGCAGAACACCTGTAAAATTGATTGTATTTTAGGCTTTCAGAGCACAAAGTAAAGGTGGTATGCACAATAAAGGATTTGTTTCTACAAGGCTTTCCACCAAAGTGGAATACAGTGTCCTAACTTTCTGTTAGCATAGAGCACAACTAATGTTAATGCTGAGTTAAGTCATTTAACTCGGTAATCCATTTTATTTTCTAATTAGTTTTTCTAACATTTACACATGGCCACAATCAGCTATGTTTAATAGCAGTCTTAAAGACTTGTGTTAAAATGCTATCATTAAATGATACCTAGGCTAGTTTTGATTAGTAAGATACAGCAAATTTCACAGAGATGCTGACTCATTGACTCGTTCTAACGTGGTAAGCTGATTTAGCTTATAAGCTATAGGTTAGTTATAGAGCGATGGTTCCCAACCCATGTCCTTGAGGAACACCATCCTGCTTGTTTTAGTTGTTTCCCTGCTTGACTCATTTGATTTAAATGAATGGGTGATCAACTGGCTTCTGCAGAACATGAGGAAGTAATGAAATCACTGAATCAGGTGTGTTGGAGGAAGAAAACAACTAGAACATGCAGTATGGTGTTCCTCAAGGATCTGGGTTGGGAACCATTGTATAGAGCATTGGTTCTCAAACTGTGGTGCAAATGCCAAGAGTGGCAGTCGAGATCCCTCTAATGAGTACAGGTTGAATAATAAGCTAATTGTCATAAGATAAACTGTGATGTAAAATAAAAGAATATAGCCACTATGATAGTTTATTAAATTAAATTGCAATTTTACTCAAAGCACAAGTGCAATGAAATGTATTTTAGGGACACCGGTGGAAACTGAAGTGAACCGTGGTTAACCAATGTTCTAGCTACCTAAGAAGCACCTGGAATGTCTATGTAGAACCTGCTAGCAACAAAAGATGATGAAATTTAATTTAGTTATCTCACATTTGTGTTCAGTTGTTTGGGGCAGAAGATTCAAGACAGCAGTGCAATGATCTCAGGAATGATCAAATCTTAAACCGCACCCTTCAACCAGGGAAGGATAGAATCGGCCAGTTTGCTCATTTACATCATAAATGAATAGTTAGGGGGGAGCACCCCCTCCTACATTGCCTACACTTGCCAACTCTGCCCTGTGACTACCACCATTGCTGATTCAGAAGCAACGCAGAAGTGGTTTTTACCTTTTAACTTCTCGTTCCTCCTGAGTCATTTTACACGATTCCAATAAGAACAGAAGGGTTCTCAGACACTGCTTGAAAGAGTTGCGTGGAATGAGTGATTTATGGAAAGGACAGTAGAGGAAATCCTCCCTGTTCATGTACACAAAGTTTCTAATCTTTTGACACAACTTTTATTTAACCTTTATTTAATGAGGCAAATCCCACTGAGATCTCAAATCTCCAAGGGAGGCCTGGGTCTGAACAGTCTAAACCTGCATGTTATTGGACAATGAGACGGAACCAGGTACCCGATGAAAACTCACGCAAATACAAGGAGAATGAACAAACTCCATACAGAAATCTGCCAGGCCCAACCTGGGGATTAAACCCAGGACCTTCTTGCTGTGAGGGAACAGTTGAGATGCAGGATGCCAACTAATGGATGTGACTTTATAAGTCTGGCAAAATGTACTAACAATAATTTCTTCTGCCTCAAGTGGAGGACTTCAAGTATCTCGGGATTTTGTTCACAAGTGAGGGCAGAATGGAACGCGAGATTGGCAGACGAATTGGTGCAACATCTGCAGTATTGCGGACTCTACCGGTCCATTGTGAAGAGGGAGCTGAGCTGTAAGGCAAAGCTCTTTGTTTACTGGTCAGTCTATGTTCCTACCCTCACCTATGGTCATGAGCTCTGGGTAGTGACCGAAAGAATGTGATCGCGAATACAGGCGGATGAAATTAGTTTCCTCCGCAGGGTAGCAGGACTCTCCTTTAGAGATAGGGTGAGAAGTTCAGTTATCAAGAAAGACTCAGAGTAGAACCGCTGCTCCTCCACATTGAGAGGAGCCAGTTGAGGTGGTTCGGGCATCTGGCAAGGATGCCCCCTGGGCCCCAGCCTAGGGAGGTGCTTCGAGCATGTCCGACTGAAGGAGACCCTGGGGAAGGCCCAGGACACGCTGGAGAGACTACGTCACTCGGTTGGCCTGGGAACGCCTTGGGGTCCTCCCAGAAGAGCTGGAAGAGGTGGCTGTGGAAAGAGATGTCTGGGCCTCCTTGCTCAAGCTGTTGCCCCCGTGTCCCGACTTCGGAACAAGCGGAAGATGATGGATGGATAATTTACTAACTTACAAAATGTAAGATAAAACTATTTTTTGTTTTGACTGCACAGACAGACATGAACAACACTGTAGTATTACAGATGGGCCTCACCACAGCTCCATTTACCTGGCACTTAATGCCGGCCAGGCTGCAAGCACAAGTCTCTGGGTCACATATCCCCCTGCAGCGACACCCACATTCTTCTCTGGACATCCGCAGGGTGCGCAGCTCGTGCTTCTCCTCCACATCGATGCGACGGACCCCCGAGGCACGCAGAAGTGCACGGCGCCTCCTGGTGGTCAGAGGCTGGAGGAAGAAGTAATCATCCACCTCCGTGTTGTCCACATCGAGGTCGTCTTCTGAGATGTCATCGAGTGTAAGAGTATCCGCCTCTATCGATGACACGGTTCCGTTTTTAGTCAGCTAGAAAAAAACAAAAAGGAAAAAATAAGGCTAGCGAGAAATGCTACGAAAAACCCTGCAATAAAGAGAGATTTTCCACTGACTTTGAGCTTTATGGCGTTGAGTTTCTCTTCTTTGAGGTGGTCCCTCAACATGTTCCGATGGCTTCGTTTCTGCTCCATGGCAAACTCTCTGAGAGTAAAGTGCCTCACGCCGCTGTGGCGAGGCGACATCCCCAGGGTGCTGCCCCCTTGTGTGGGCACAGTGGAAAAGCCTTGACGCCGGGTGAAATAGTACACGGTCACGCTCTCAAAGTGCACGTTGTGGCCGCGCAGTCGCTTGGACGGCTGCTGGACGGAAGCTGAGATTGAAACAAAAGTGGAAAACATTATCCATACGTCCATTATCTTTACTTACTTTTTTCCTTTTTCGAGTTACGGGGGTCATTGGTGCCCATATCCAACATTCTTTGCGAGAAACGGGGTACACCCTGGACAGGTTGCAAGTCCATCACAGGGACACAAAGACAAACGAGACAAACTTTCACTCTCTCACACACACCTAGAGACAATTTAGTTACCAATCAGCCTAACATGCATGTTTTTAGTCTGTGGGAAGAAACCGGAGTACCCAGAGAAAACCCACACATACATAAAGAGAACATGCAAACTCCACCCAGAAAGGTCCCTGACTGGGATTTGGACCAGGATGACCTGCTCGCTGAGAAGCGGCAGCTCTATCAACTGAGCTACCGTGCTGCCGGGAAACATCCATCCATCCATCCATTTTCTTTACCCGCTTATTCCATTTTGGGTCACGGGGGTCGCTGGTGCCCATGTCCAGCAATCACTGTGCGAGGGGCGGGGTACACCCTGGACGGGTCGCAAGTCCATCACAGGGAAACATAGAGACAAACGAGACAAACAACCATTCACTCTCTCACTCACACCTAGGGACAATTTAAAGTTACCGATCAGCCTAACATGCATGTTTTTGGACTGTGGGAGGAAACCGGAGTACCCGGAGAAAACCCACGCATGCACGGAGAGAACATGCAAACTCCACCCAGAAAGGCCCCTGGACCGGGGTTTGAACCAAGGACCTGCTCGCTGAGAGGCAGCAGCTCTACCAGTTGCGCCACCGTGCTGCCGGGAAACATATTATTAGAAATTTATAATTGAAAAGATGTTAAATATCTGATTCAACGATGTCCAGTACAGAATCAGATATTTAAAGTCCTCCCAATTTTATGTTGAGGAGCTTTATTTTGAAATTGTTCCGCTATTTTAAGATAGTTTTTCCACAGACTGGTGAACCTCTGCCCATCTTTACTTCGAAGAGGTTCAGTCTTTCTAAAATGCTCTCTATACCCAGTCCTCTTACTCACCCATCGACAATAACGATAATTAGTAAAACAAAAAACTCCTCCAGCTTGTTTTTCATTTACGGTCTTTTTTTTTTACATTTGACATGTTTGCCACGTTTCTCCGAGTACTCCGGTTTCCTCCCACAGACCAAAAACATGCATGTTAGGCTGATTGGTAACTCTAAATTAGGTGTGAGTGAGAAAGTGAATGGTTGTTTGTCTCGTTCGTCTCTATGTGTCCCTGTGATGGACTTGCGACCTGTCCAGGGTGTACCCCGCCCCTCGCACAGTGATTGCTGGACATGGGCACCAGCGACCCCCGTGACCCAAAATGGAATAAGCGAGTAAAGATAATGGATGGATGGATGTTTGCCACGTACCAGTGTGAATAAAATATGAGTTTATGAGGTTTGTCAATCGTGGTATTCTGTTTATATTTTTACAAATCGTGCACAACTTTTTGGAGTTGTGCACGTTTTAAAAAAAATTGACAATTGTGAGCGCATTGGTGATAAACCCAGTGAAAAGAGAGTAGTTTGTAAGACTTTACAAGAATGTAGTTACAATTGGTGTCATCAGTAGGTCTAAGAAAATTGTACAGAGCTGTGCAATCAGCAGAGCTAAAATTTACCTCAGGAGCTCTACACAGCCGAATTATCTTCAGACCGATGACAAAAATACATAAAACAATATATTAAAATGTCGGAATCTTGATTTTTCTAACCTACGGTATATGTGAGGTTATGAATGAATTTTACCACCTTATAATCTGATCGTTGTGTTTACGGTGTTCGGGAGCGAAACCTTACAATTCAGGATTCCAGAGGGCACAGAATGATTCAGACTATCGCTGCTGTTGCCGCTGTCGCTGCAGGAAACCTCGTCATCTTCGGACCCCTGCAGGGACAAATAAGAGGAGGCCCCCTCTTCGAACTTTCTCTTCAGGATCCCGCTCATCGTGTGGCTCCGTCCGCCGTTCACATCTGTGCAATACAGACCGGTTAAACTTTACCATCAACGCTTGGTTTACACAAAACTACGACGCAACCTTTTCAAAACACACGTTTCTTAAGCTAATTAAATGAGCTAACATAGTAATTTTATGACTTTTTGATCTTTTGTTTAGGTATTTTGTAAGAAAAATTACAAAGATGTATCATCTGCCCGTTTAAAGTTCAGTGAGTTTTGGATAAGTGTGACATTGCAGTTGTTGTCAGTAGTTTTGATAGTAAGTCCCATTAGCGTCTTGCTAGCTAATAGCAATAAAGTCAGTTGCATTTTGACACTCGTTTTGGTTTTATGGTCTCTAAATTTCATTCTTAGGACTCGCAAAATCCTAATTCTCACAAGGTAGCTGGGATCAAATCCACCAGCTCTTCACCTAACAAGAAAAGTCCACAAATTTATAGCCTAGCTAGCATTTAGCAGCTAAACAGATAGCTTTTGTGTTGGTGGATGATAAAAAACGGAGAGATTAGATGTTTTAGATGAATGCAAAAATGTAAATTCAAGATTAAATAACTCACTATTTATTTTTTAGACAACACAAATATAGATTTTCCTCTTTTTATTTTAGCATTTGACTGTGGGGTGCTAACTGTCCCTTTAAAATAAGGAAACATTTTAAACTATTAATGTTTCTTATTAAGATGATAAGGACTCTCATTGTTTCTTATTTTAGGAGCCAGTGTAAATCTGTTTATAGACGATAAAAGAAACTGTGATTTTGTCCATTCAGAGCTGAAGAGTTGTTTTTTATTTTTGAGGGAAAGACTTTGGGAGCTAAACGACTGAAACTCGAAAGAAGCAAACATTAGCTAAAAACTAAAATAACCACAACAGTAGCTGAAGAAGCAAAACAATAGATTAAGGCTAAAAGAGTAACTAGTTAAAATACAAAAGTAAAACACTAGCAAAAAGGTAAGTATCAAAGTTCTTGCTGAAAGTTAAATGTAGCAAAGAAACAAAACATTGGTTAAAAGTTTTTTGTTTTTTTCAGAATCAGCTTTATTGTCATTGCAACAAAGCGCAATGACATTACATTTCAGTATAGCCCGTCCAAGAGAAACATAACAGACATGGGGAGACGGAGGTGACTGAGGCCGCAGGCCTTGAGAGGCACGGCTATGGACAAGGAAAAGGAAACATGAGGGGGAGTGTAGGTGTAAAAATAACAAACAAAATCAAATCTTGCACTGTGTCCTAGACGATAGGCACAGTGTGAAAGTTGCTAAAAAAAATGACCTCAGCACTTGAAACGGCAACATACTGATGACATCATAATACATTTATGCATGAGGAGGCCGACGAGGGCAGTGAGTTGTTCGTGGACACTGCCAGAAAGTTCCATAGTCCTGATAAAGATGATGTAGTGTTTATCAGCCGGCTCAACTCTGACACAGGTCCACAGATGTCCTCGGGAGGGGAGCGATGGGGGCGGGGAGAGGAGCTTTTCATTCACATAGCCAACCAGGAGAAGTTTGAGATAGCTGGCCAATTCAAGGCTGAGTGGGGAAGCCAAATTCAAATAAGTTATTTTGGGTAAGTTAACCTCTGCTTGAATTTCCATGTCTGCCTTTATAGTTCTGCTGGTACGTCTCACTGATTCCAAACAGCCAAATTTTGTGGTCACACCACCGAACCGAGCTTGTAGTTTTCTCCAAGGTCGATTCCTTCCCGCCAGTGAGTCCCAGGAGCCGCAAGTGGCCTGAGATTTTCAGAAATCACGTCCGGCTTATGGCTCAGCTCATGCAGCATTTGAGTCTGAGGGTTTATTGCTCGGTACATTCCTTCATACAAGGCAGGCGGCCTTACAATTGCCTGAACCGCTGCCGCTGTCTTCCGAATGTGTCGATATGCCAGATACCCGCCAACTCCAAAAAGCAGAAATCCAGTTATCAAAAATCCAATTACACGTCTTCTACATCCTCAACGGACAATACAGACCGACACGCTATCTTCCACTGGCCCCAGGAATCCATAGTGTATCCAGCTGTGAGTGTCCTTTCAGGGCGTGAGGGCTCTCCTTCGCCCTGTCTTCTCATCGAGAAAATATTAAAATAAAATATATTATAAAAATAATAAAATGGTAGCTACAAGCTAAATCAGCAAAAAGCTAGCCAAAATCTGAATGTAACAAGCGGCTAACTTAAAGTTGCAAAGGGATAGCTAGAACTAGTGAAACACCAGCGTAAAGCTAAACGTAACAAGTCTAGCTAAAATCTAAATGTAGCAAAAGGCTAGCTTAAAGTAGCAGAAAGCTAGAAAAAAGGTAAAATTATCAAAAGTCTTGCTGAAAGCTAAACATAGCAAAGATGCAAAACTAGTTAAACAAAACCAAATGTTAGCTAAAAGCTAAAGCAGCAAAAAGCTAGACTAGCTCAAGACTAAAAGTAACAAGTCTAAGCTAAGCTAAAATAATCAAAACAATAGCTAGAAGCTGAAGAAGCAGAACAGATTAAGACTAAAAGAGTAACTAGTTAAAATACAACAGAAAAAAAGGTAAACGTGTCCAAGTTCTTGCTGAAAGCTAAATGTAGTAAAGAAACAAAGCAGCAAAAAAGCTAGGCTAACTAAAGCTAAAAGTAACAAGTCTGTCTAAAACTAATTGTGGAGTCTAGCTAAAAGTAGTAGGTTAGTTAAAATCAGCAAACATTAGTTTAAAGGTAGAAGTAACAAAGCTAGCTAAAAGCTAAATGTAACAAAAGACTAAAAGGTAAAAGTAACAATAGGGTAGCTAAATGCTAAACGAAGCTAATTATCCAAACACTTGATAAAACAAAAAACAAAATGGCCAAAGTAGCTATAGCTAAAAGCTAAAATAACAATAGGCTAACTAAATGCTGAACAGTGCTAAGTATCCAAACTCTAGATAAAAGTAATAAAATTGTAGCTACAAGATAAAGAAGAAAATGATAAATGCTAAAAGCAACAATGGGCTGACTAAAAGTTTAATGTAACAAAAATGTATGCTGGATGGATTTCAATGGGGTCGGTGTCCCCCCCAATTCATTTCAGTTTATTTATAAAGCGCCAAGTCACAACAGAAGTCACATTCACATACATTAAAAAAGCCTTTTAGTAAAAGTTATCTATACAAGGATGCAGCAGATTATGTTGAACCTTCACGTCGTCTCAGTCTCCCATCCTGAGCAAGCACAAAGGAGACAGTGGGAAGGAAAAACTCCATTTTAACAGGAAACCTCCAGCAGAACCAGGCTCAGGACGAGCGACCGTCTGCGCTCCAACCAGCTGGATTTGAGAGGAACAGGAAGTAGAAACACAGGATCGCAGGTAAAAATGACCTAATGACCACTAAACAGTAACGTTACTTTGAGGTTATAGGAACAATTCTGACAAAATAAAACAATTTATTACATTTTGTCAGGAACAGTCGTCTTTATTGACGACGCATCAAAATAAAGTAAATTAATAAATGTGTGGCTGAATTTTCTGCCTATGACCTTCTAAGAGGTAAATGCACTCATTTGTATCTCTCAAGCTAACAAAATGTATTTTGCTAGTGCTAGGCTCCTCGGACTGATGAAGTCCTTTGGATGAAGGATGAAACGTCTCGGCAACAAAACAAGAAACCGTCCAGACGACGTGACTGAACTCTGTTGGATATTTTGCTAGTGTTTTTATTTTCATTACAGCATAAATAGCAGCATTTCTCTGTCAGCTATATGTATGCTGACGTTTCAGGACGTTTAAACCAATAGCTGCCTAAAGCAGTGCAAGTTTTGTGGCGCAATCCAACCAAATGATGTATAGTTGCACCACGGAGAGTTTCATGGATCTGATCCATCTTTGTTGCAAATGGAAGCTCACCATTTGGTGTTGAGTGACGTTGCTGAGCGCATAAAAATAGGAACTAAATTCCCCTGAACGATGTGATAACCCCGTGACCATTATACAAAGCATCGTTTCCAGCTGATTGCTTATGTGGACCATTGGAAGAGCATCACTGCCTCTGATTAAAGGCGACTACACGAGTTCCATAGAAGCACAGCTCATGGTTAGGTGCATTCTGGGAGCCCTGTCAACTTCGTTAGCGAGTGGACGTAAAATAAGAAGCGCCTCGAGGAGGTTGGAAATGGATTACATCACATGCAGCAGAGCTGATTGCCGGTGCAAGGGTTTTTCTCTGACCGGCTTTGTCTTTGTTTCTTCTGTACAGTATCGAGCTCTACTCATCCCATGAGTAAAGCCCCCTTAATTCTTTCTACCTACGTCTCTCAGGTCCATCATTTAGCTCACTGTCTTGGAGAAGAAACAGTAGAACCGCTGTATGATTAGTTCTCCCAGATGATGCTATGAATGTATGAACCTGCTCCCAGGCGTCACGAGGAGCATCCTCCCACTCCCCATTCATCCCAAACAGTGACATGGGAATTCTTATTGACGAATGTAAGCCAGCGCCACCGTGTGACGCAATTAAAGCCCTCAGAGGGGCTGAATGTGCGTCCGTCTCCTCGCCACTGACCTGTTTCCTTGGCTGGCCTTTGGTTTCCAGGAGCTCCTCTGGACTGGTTCCTCTGCATCCCGCAGTTGCTCACCAGCAGCATCCAGACACCCCCATGTGTCGTGGTGATGCGGTGAGCGCTGACATGATGCCTGCTCCCTCTTCTCTGGGTTTATTGTGCAGCCCCGAACACCTCTTCTGTCCGCTCCCTCTGCACCCTCATGCTGTCAGCTCTCTCACCGACTGATTTTTTTTTTCCTCCTCCTGCTCTGCAACCCCTCCTTCCTCCCTTCCTCCCCCCTCCTCTCCTCACAAAGACTTGTTAGCTCGGTGCTGCTGCCGGATGGAAGCGCTGGAGCTTGACAGAGGTGAAGCCAGCCCTACGAGAACACAGAGGGATGGAGCATGTGGTGCTGATGGGGGGAAAAGAGGGGGGTTGGAAGCAGGGGATAGCAGAAATAGTATTTAGAATGCTAATGTAATGAGCTTTTCACGTTTGCGAGTTCCTTCTTTTGTTTCTGTGAAGATGATTTGCATTTTTAATTGATGCCTCGTCAAATAGGAAGACACTGAACTGAAGAAGTCTGTGTCTGGAATAAAAGATATTCTGAATGTGATCGTGACTACAAAGCTGTTTTATTCAGTAATTTAGGCAGGGGTGTCTCCAGATTAGGTTTTTCTTTTTCAGACTGAATACAAGTACTTTAGTTTGGGTACTTGCCTATACTGAGTATTGAGTTTAGCTGTATACCGAGTACCCACGTTTGTTCTTAAACATTACACTCTAGAAACAATTCTTTTCAGTCTGCTGTCTTATCGTTAACTGTGTTTGTCATAAAATAACCCCGAATTAGGTTTTTTGTTTTTTTTTTGTAGTTTTTTTGCCCTCTGTTACTTGCAAAGTGGAAAATGAAATGACATAATAAAGCGTGAATGCGACATCAGTCAAAAGTATCTGTGTTTTTATGAGGGCAAGTATAAGTACAAATCTAAAATCACAAAATTACCTGGACTCATTTAACATCTTACCTCTCCATCAATCTGGTTTCAGGAAACAACACAACCACTGCTTCACTGAAGGTTCTTAATGACGTTGTTGAAGCACTGGATTATTAAGGATTATTGTGCTGCACTTTTCTTAGACCTGTCTAAAGCTTTTGACACTGTGGATCATAACATCTTGTGTCATAAACTCTCAGAAATCGGTTTCTCAGATCACACCATTGGTTGGTGGTCTAACTATCTCTCAGACCGGAGGCAATGTGTTCAACATAATGGTACTTCCTCCAGTTATTTAACAGTCAAGAATGGTGTACCACAAGGCTTTGTCTTAGGACCCACCCTCTTTACAGTCTACATAGGTAATGTAGGTAAAAAATCCCTGATGCATCCATACATTTCTATGCTGATGACACAGTTGTTTATTGTCGAGCTAAAACAGTTGATAAGGTTTTCCAGCTTTTGCAAACTGCATTCAACATCATCCAGACAGATTTGTTCCGCCTCAAACTTGTCCTAAATGCCGACAAATCCAAAGGGATGCTTTTTTCAAACAGGAAGCCGGTCCCAGCAGTTCTTCCTCTGATTTTATCTTCAAATGGCATTCCTATTGAGTTTGTTGATTCCTACAAATATTTGGGTATCTTGGTCGACTCGCATCTCTCTTTTAAGCTTCATGTAGAAAACCTAGTAAAGAAACTGAAAGTTAAACTGGGTTTCTTTTTCAGAAACAGATCCTGTCTAACCCTGAATGCTAGGAAACACCTTGTAACTGTGACTTTCCTTCCCTCCATTGACTACTATTATTTACATGAACGCTCCTATAAGAACCCTGCAGATGTTGGATGCTGCAGATGTTGGATGCTGTCTATCATGGTGCACTAAGATTCATAACTGGCTGTGATTATCGTACCCACCACTGCACCCAGTATTCACTGGTTAACTGGACATCAATAACTTCACGCAGACTCTCTCACTGGTACATTTTCATCTTTAAATCACTTCTTGGTCTGTTGCCTTCATACATCTCCTCCTACATGTCTCTGTGTGAGTGCAGCTACAGCGTGCGCTATCAGGACTTCATTACCTGCAGTGTTCCCTCAGTGAGGACTGAACTAGGCAAAAGGGCCTTCTCCTACTCCGCTCCTGTTTCCTGGAATATCTTGAAAAGAGATTTGAAGCTGTCGACTTTGACCTCTCAAGTGGCTTCAAACATCTATTAAGTTCCTGGGAAAAACCAACGCAGCCATGTTCCTGTTTTTAGTTTTTTACATCGCCTTATAATCTAGCTGTTTTTCTTTCATTTTTTTAATATACCATTTCCTTTCATTTGTACTTCTCAATTTATATGCTTTATTTTATGATTGTCTATTGTTGTTGTTGTTGTCTACTGTTGTCATCACTCTTTGTTAAAATCAGGCCTCTCTTGTAAATGAGTCCCCGAGGCTCAATGGGACTAACCTGTATAAATGAAGGTTGAGTGAATTTGTATAAACCGCTGTTACCTTTTGGAGATTTGAGCAGTTTTGAGATGTAGCAATCCACTTCGGTTTTAGCTGCATTCAGACTAGCCGTTAGCCCATCACTTCTGCCTTTTTGTTCAAACTGAGGCCGTTCAAACAACTTTAATAAATGCAAGACATTTATAACATAAAAATGACTGAAACTTTCCTTTGAACCTCAAAATGGTCATTTTGTGTATGAGCTTAAAACAATTAAATCCCTGGAAAATACTAATCACGCTTTAAAGAATAAAACACTAGTTGGGTCTCAGTTTGATTTAATGACTTCAATGAGCAAAAAGAACTGGGACCAATCAAACCAAAGGTTGTTTTTACCACCTAGCTCATGGCTAACACGATAACAGGGAATAACAAGGAAACCGACTCAGGACCCGAAGGTCCCGGGTTCGATCCCCGGTCATTGCACATCTCATGGTGTCTCTGAGCAGGACACCCTATCCCCAGTTGCTCCCCGGGCACACTCAATAGCTGCCCACTGCTCCACCTGGTGGTGGATGGGTTAAATGCAGAGAGCCGATGTCACCATTGTATGGAAACATACAATGATGACAACACATAACAAGTTATTTATTATTGTGATGTCTTCAGAAGAAGAAATTAGCCAGTAAAGGCAGCCATCTTCAGGACTGATGAAGTCCTTTGGATGAAAGATGAAACGTTTCAACACAAAGAAACCGTCCAGAGGACCTGACTGAACTTTGTTGGATTTTTTTAACCTGGATTATTGCGCATGAACTTTAATGTTTTGAACCACTTTGGTCATGGCTGCCTCAGAGGAGTTGACGGGGGAGAGGGCGGACTCCAGAAACCATCGTATCACCATCAAACTGGTTTGCCCACTATGTAATTGTGCTGCTTGTGGGATTGAGTTTGTTGTGGCTCCTCGGACTGAAGAAGTCCTTTGGATGAAGGACGTTTCAACACAAAGAAACTGTCCAGAGGACCTGGAAATTGAGCAAAACTAAATTTATTATAAACAACAAGTTGAATACAGAGGATGACTAACATCGGTTTAGTTAATTTCAGTAAAAACTATGTGACTGCTCACCCAGCCCCCACCCACGTGACCCTTAACATGGTTGCCATAGCAATGGCAGGCGGTGGATGTTGCGTCCTCTCGTTTCAGTCGCACAACCTTGACTTTGTGTGCGTTTTAGAACATATGGAGTGCGTTGAAGTCTTTCTAAACGTCCTGAAGCTCAGACGAAGTCAAATCCAACTTAAGAAAGATCATCAGAACAAATTCTTTCACACCTCGAGTCCAAAATACAACTTCGCTTTTAGGAAATGTGCGTATTTTTCCATAAATACGTCGATTGCGCTGTTTTATTATTATTTGTCCGTTTTTCTTGAGCTTGATGCTTTGAGGGTTGTTTTCAGCACGACAGCTCGTTTCTCAGGTTGTGGAGAAAAATGTCCTCGTGTGTCAAAAATTGAACATGCTACCAAACCGAGACAAGTTAAAGTATACTTTAGGTGTTTCATCATTATGTTCAGAGACTGACGCATGGTCTCCGGTTGTTTCAGACTGTATCTGATGTTTGGGGGGGGGGGGGGGGTTGGACTCTGAATTCTCCTGTTTTCTTCAGCTTGGATGGAGTAAATGTGCAGCAGAGACGGAGATCCTACCAATCAGCTTCCATGGCAACGAGCCGATGGGGGAGGGAGGGAGGCAGCTGGAGGGGGCAGTGATGGGAGGTGGGGGCTGGGATGGCTGAAGCTTGAGGAGAAGGCAGGGGGAAGGTCTAGCTTTTTCTTAGCTCCTGAACATTTTAAACCAAGTCATTAGTTTGTGGTTTAAACATCAGGATGCTGCGATCTGTTTGTAACAGAATACATTTGTCGTGTATAAGTGTTAAATGTATACTTTGTGTTTTTCCTCCATGGAGCCGCTCTGCATCTGGAGCGTCCTATTTTAGGAAGAAACGAGATGTGGAAAAAATAAATACTTGGGTTTTTTTTAAAGAAAGAAGCATTTTCAACCCAACAATTTTCAGTCAGGTCACGTGGACAGTTTTTTTTTTGTGTGTGCAGAAACGTTTCGCCTTCCATCCAGAAGGCTTCATCAGTCAAGGAAGCACACAACACAAAACAGCTTACTCCAAAGTGGAACAAACCAGTTATGTTGGTGCTAAGATGGTGTCTTTGGCACGCCCCCTCCTCTGATGCCGGCCCTCTTCCTCGTCTCGTGTCAAACTGGTTCAAAACCTACAAAGTCCATGCTCAATAATCCAGGTATACAATCCAACAGTTTTCAGTCAGGTCATCTGGACAGTTTCTTTTTGGATGGAAGGTGACATGTTTCAGCACAAAAAAAGAAACTGTCCAGGTGACCTGACTGAAAACTGTTGGATTGTTTACCTGGATTATTGAGCATGGAGTTTGTAAGCATTTTCAATGTTTTTATTTACAACCCAAATTCCAAAATGGATGAGTCGTTGTGTAAACTGTAAATTAAAATATGGAACGCAGTGATTTTCTAATCTCATTAACAAATACTTTTATTCACATCGGAACACAGTCGACATATCAGTGCTTCAAACTGGGAAACTGGACCACATTTATTACAGACTGGTCAATCTCTGCCCATCTTTACTTCCTCTTACTGGCCTGCTGATAAATAACCTGATTAGTGACAATCCAGCTGTTTTCTACTCTGCCAGCTCCTGCACCCACAGCCAGACTCTAATCAGCTCCGCCTGTGGATCGTCGACTAAAAGGCTG